CGAACGAATGAATGCATAAATGAATGCATAAATGAATGCATAAATGAATGCATAAATGAATGAATGCATGGATGGATGAAAAAAATTAATGAAACCAAAAAAGGGAGCATATAAATAATACAAATTGGAAAATAAGGAAGATACAAAAAATGAAAGTAAATCTATTTCTGATGTTTATCACATGCACACATGTGTATATAAATAAACGCTGGGGTACAACTTTCTAGATTTGGGGTACTATGGTATTGATGTATTGAAGTTGATACAAATGATACAATGTTTGATACAAAAAATTGATTAAACGATACAAAATGATATCTTTAATGATACAATAAAAAGTTTTTGTTTTCATACCTTCAGTCTGAATGGGTTGCGCTCTCTTAGCAGTAAGTGTTGGAAGTTCTGTTGAAAATGTTTGTGTTGTTCGTCATAGTGCTGTTGTTGATGTTGTGGTTGTTGTGGCTGATGTGGTTGACGTGTTTGTTGCTGTTGTGACTGCAGTTGTTGTGGCTGCAGTTGTTGTGGCTGTAGTTGATGTGTTTGTGGTGTTTGTTGTTGATGTTGTGGCTGTTCGTGGCATTGGTGTTGCTGCTGCGGTTGTGGGTCTTCTAGTTGTGATTGATGTAGTTGTGGTTGATGTAGTTGTGATTGATGTAGTTGTGATTGATGTAGTTGTGGTTGATGTAGTTGTGGTTGATGTAGTTGTGGTTGATGTAGTTGTGGTTGATGTAGTTGTGGTTGGTGTGGTTGTGGTTGATGTGGCAGTTTATTATTAGAACTTGAAGAGTGCGTGAACTTCAGACTGGCAGCTATCTGCAGGTCTGTATGATCGAACGCACTGCAGTACTCCCTAGCGTCGCATCTTATTGTTAGCAAGCAGCCCAAAATTTCAAACATTTTCTCTCTCAAGTAGTTCAACTGAGCTCTGCTGATGTCTTTATTGCTGCTTTTGGAATTGACATTGCCGTTATTAATGTTATCATCGTTATTACTGTTGTTGTTGTTGTTGTTATTATTATTGTTAATATTATTGTTGTTGTTGTTGTTATTCTTATTGT